GCCAAGGGGATATGATGAGGAACCAACAGCATCTACTACTAACGTCAGGATCAAAGGGCAGCCAATGAGAGGACCTGGATGCCTAAACATGGCCAAGAACTTATAGAGAAGAGGACATTATTTGTGACATAGTTAACATTTGAAATTACATTCCCTTTATTTCAAATAGTCCCTCCTTCAGAAATACTCACACAGGCACACGATGATGTGGCAGCGTTGTTTACAACCAGTGAAAAAAATGGAAAAAACCTCAGTGTCCATCCACCGGGGATTTGCAAAATAAATTGTGGCATAGCCATATGACGAAACACTCAGTACGGGTTTCAGGGCATTGTTATATAAAGATATCCACGATACAGTGTTAAATCAAAAAAGGCAAGTTGGGAGAGAATAGGGTTAACATTCTCTGATGTTTTCTATCTTAGAAAACATATATAAAAGATGAGGAAGACTACTGACAGCGGTTTCCTCCAGGCAGTGGATTGTAGGGTAGAGATTAAAGAAAACTTTTACTTTCTTCTCTATGTATTTTTGCCTTTGCATTTTTACAACCAGCCTATATTATTTTTATGATAAAATCAAGGCAAAATTATATACATATGTTTATTATATATTTTAATTTATTTATTATATATATTTTAAATTATATATATACATATGTAATAAAAGTTCAACCTCCTGGCAAGGCATGGTGGCAGCTGCACAGATACTAGGAAAGGACGGCTTCAAGGATTAGCTGGATTTGGCCAAGAGATGACCAGGGCTCCCCCACATCTATATGCTCAGCCAATGGCAGGGATCCATGGGCACATCCCGCCAACGCTGGGCGACCACTTATCCCAAGCAGATGGAACAAATCCTTGTGTTGCCAGGTCACCAGAGTTCAAAGGGTCCCCGGGATGGCCAGCTGCTTGCTGCTCCCTGATCTTAGTTGTCCTTTCTCTTTGTTTGACAAGTATTTACTGAGCATCTACTATCTGCCAGGCCCTGATTTAGGAACTAGGGTTATCAAGGGGAACAAGACAAGCATGCCTGCCCTCAGGGCACTTCCTTCTAAAACAAGAAGAAGACATCAATTGATGTGTTAGATGCTATAAAAGAGAAGAGCAGGGAGCTATGAGGATGCATTATAAGGTGACCGGTTCTGTGAAACATGGAGAAAATAACCTCTCTTCCATGTGAGCTTTTTCCATATTTTTTTTTAGAACAAAACAAATTTTGTAAACAGAATAAGCTCAAAAGGTCTAAATGAAATAAATTTCAGCGAGCCCCCCGGGCTGATAGAGATACGCTAGCTAGCTATCCAAAGTAGAACAACCCTGGCTTTGTTTCCAACCCCCTCTCTGTGACTCAGCCAAAATCCTGCACTGGAAGGGTGTGCTCCACCCTTTCCTCTTGGTTTTTCATCCAAATCCACCAAGCATTTGGAATTTTCCTTCTTTGCGGAAAAAAATCTTAGAAGACCAACCTTGGGAGGGTCCTCTCTTCCAATGCAGGCTTTACCTCAACAAAACAATGTAATAACACTAGATTATTCATAACAAGTACTTGAATGCCTCCAGAGACGGGGAGCTCATCATCTTGCAAGGAAGTCCATTCTCAGTTCTTGAGGATCTAATAGTTAGAAGGCTCTTTCTCCTTCTGTTTGCTTAGCTTTCACCTAGTCCTATCGTCTGCTACAGAGGAAAAGTCTGTATCCCTTCAAAGTAAGTTACTCTCTCTCACCCAGCTCTTAATTTTTAGAGCTTTACAGTGTGAGCACTTGCAGGAGGGGTGGTTGGAAGGTCAGGGTGTCCTTTGTGGGCCCTACTAATCATGGCCCTGGGGCTCAAACAATTAAACCTTTGGTGCCAGGCGCCCCTCAAGTCTCAGCCTTTAGCCATGTTTTCTACATTGGCTTGTTTCTTGGCTCTATGGACTTAGTATTTTCCACTGAGTCACACTGTAAACCTTTGTGCTGAGAGGACAACTACCTCCATCACTAAGAGGCAGTGTGGGGTTGGGTTTAAAAGCACTCATGCTTGAGCTGCTCTGCCTGGGTTTGATCCCTGGAAGTCCCACTAGCCAGCTGTGTGACACTAAGGCAAGTTGCTTACCCTCTCTGAGCAACAGTCCCCTCATCTGTAAAAGAGGAATAACAATACGATCTACATTATAGGGGTTTTTTTTTTTTTTTTAAGATTTTATTTTTTCCTTTTTCTCCCCAAAGCCCCCCCAGTACATAGTTGTGTATTCTTCGTTGTGGGTTCTTCTAGTTGTGGCATGTGGGACGCTGCCTCAGCGTGGTCTGACGAGCAGTGCCATGTCCGCGCCCAGGATTCGAACCAACGGAACACTGGGCCGCCTGCAGCGGAGCGCGCGAACTTAACCACTCGGCCACGGGGCCAGCCCCTACATTATAGGGTTTTTGTGAGGATTAAAGGAGACAAAACGCAATGAAGTGCCCTGAAGGTAGTGCCTGGTACCAAGCGACGGCTCAGGAGAAATGGGCTGCTATTATAATTACCCATTTATTAAGCACTTATTGCATACTAGGAACTCTCCATATATCATTTGTCATTTTTCATCTTCTCCACAAAGTAGGTATTATTTATTCCTGTTTTGCAAATAGAGAACACATATGCAAGGCTTGCATATATATCTGCTCTTTCTTAAGCACTTATCAGATGAGGTAATTTGTATTTTCCCCAAAGGGCCATAGTAATATTTCTGGTCCCACATTCTCTTCCAGAACCTTGGCTTTCCCCCACCAAGACAGAGAGCTATTTCCCCACCCTTTGAGCCTCAGCAGGCCTTTGTGACTGATCCAACGAACTGAATTTCGCAGAAGAGATGCTGTGTGGCTTTTGAGACTAGGTCATAAAAGATGAGATGGCTTCCACTTGGGCTTTCTCTCTCCTGGGACACTCACCCTTAAAACCTAGCCACCAGGTTGTAAGGAAGCCCCAGCCACACAGAGAGGTCACGTGCAGGCGTTTCGGCCAATGGCCTCAGCTGAGGCACCAGCCAACAGTCAGCACCAACCACCAGACAAATGAATGAGTGAAACACCTGATGATCCCGGCGCCCAGCCTTAGAGCCACCCCAAGTGATGCTGAGTGGGGCGGAGACGAGCTGTCTCCACCAAGCCCTAATATATTGCATATTGTGAGCAAAATAAATGCTGTTGCCGTTTCAAGGCAGTAAGTTTTAAAGTGGTTTGCCCCAAAGCTATAAATACCTGCAACACGAGGTATCAAAGAACTTGGCAAAGATATTATCTAATTTAATCTTTAAACAGCAGCTATGCAATGTAAGTATCCCTGTGATATAGAAGTAGAAGTCGGACTTGAAGAAGTAAGACGACGTGGCGACAGTCACAGGGCAGGTGAGCGGAGAAGCCAGAATTCCTACCCAGGTCTCCCCGGCTGCAGAACCCACAGGCTTTCAATGCAGACACCTACCCGAGATGAGGCAGGGAAGAACCCAAATTATTTAGCAGCCACCCGAGCTAGGGCACCTAAAAAAAGAGTTCCCAAAGCCCATTAAGCAGACTTAGACATTTCACTTTATTAAGACTTCTTTTCCCAAATAAGAATCCAGCATCTTGGAGCATCTCGCAAAGTGTCCCTCCACAAGGGGACTCGTTCTTGTCCTGCCTCCCTCTGCTGTATTCCTTGGAGAGGTCCAAGATTGTGGGAATGAGATGCGTTAAGTGTGGGAAGATGTTTGTTTGGAAGCCGAAGGTTTGATGGGAATTCCTTCCTCCCTGGGGACGGATGGTTGGCTTACACCGAGCTGCTGATATGTATCCTGATTTAACCTAGATTGAGGTTTATGATGGGAAAATTCAGAGCATACCTTCCGATTCGCCCTCCTCCATTGAACCCTGACCACAACCCCCAACACCACCAAGAAACAGCCTCACGAGATAAAGTATTAGTCAAGAATTCACTACCGATTACTGAAAACCTAACACACACCACAGTTTAATTTGATCATATCAATCTTGTGTAGCCTGTACCATTATGTGCCCAATTTATGGGTGCACAAACTGAGACAGTAAGTGGTTTGACCCAGGTCAAAGAGCTAGGAAGTAGAAGAGGTGGGATTTGAACCTGGGTCCGTCTGATTCAGAAGATGCTGCTCTTTATAACTGCAAGGTCGACGCCCTATAGATGGGAAAGAAGACAAACCAGGTGGAGGAAATCGTGTGAGAAAAGGCAGGAAGACGTAAAGTCAAGGATCATCTGACTTCTGACTTTACAAATCTATAGAATAAAAAACACGACAACGATGATGATGATGACGTAAAATGCACTGATTATAAAGTGACCATTTTCCCCTGGGAGGAATCCAAGAAGAGTTTATAAAGAGGATGCTCTTGAGTCTTGAAGACTGTCTGAGTCAGCTCAGGCTGGTGTAACAAAACACCATGGCCTGCAGGGGCTCAAACAACACACATTTATTTCTTGCAATGCTGGAGGCTGAAAAGTCCAAGATGAAGGTGTCGGCTGATTCAGAGAGGTGAGGGTTCTCTTCCTGGCTTGGAAAGTGCTGCCTTCTTGCTGTGTCTTCCTTCATATGGCCTCTCCTGGGTGTGTGTGCATGGAGAGAGATCTCTCTGTCTTCCTCTTCTTATAAGAGCACAATCCCATCATGACAGTCCCACTTTCGTGAACTTAACTCAACCTAATTACCTTCAAATACCATCACATTGGGTATTAGGGCCTCAAAACATGAATTTGCTGGGCGTAGGGCACATTCAACCCATCACAAAGACCATGTCAAATGCCACCATATAGGAAGCCATAAGGATCAGTATTATTATATGGGTGGCCATAACTAATAATATGATTTCTATATGCACATTGGTGAGGTCCCTTTTGGTTATAAATGACAGAATCTCAACAAACTAGCTTAAGAAAAAAGTAGGATTCACTGGTTCACATACTGGGAAGAGAAAAAGTGGACACAGAGATTCAAACGATATTAGCTGGTCTCAACTCAACTCTCCTTACCTCTCTTCTCTCTGCACTGGCCTCATACCCATGCAGTTTGTCCTTCCAGGGCACAGCAAGGACCCAGGCAGCTTCCGGCTGACATCACCCCGGCTCTCCAGAGCTAAGAGGAAGATGCTTTCCACCAGCATTTAGAGACACAGCGCCAAGAAAGGATCTGATTGGTTAGGCTTGGGTTTTATGGCTCTCCCTGAACCAATCACTGAGGCCAGGATATGGGAAGCTGTGATTGGCCAGATCTGGGTCACATGTCCCACTCTTAGCTCACCACACAGGACCAGTCAAAGGCCTCCCTCGTAAAGCTGAGGAATGAGTTGATGTTTGTGACTTAGAAGAGTGCTTGGCAAAAATTCAGCACTCAGCTAATGTTACTCATCAGTTTATCTCTTTTACAACATCTCAGGAGATCTCATGCTCCTTGGCTGCTGAGACTTGACCTCATAGACCTCTGGCATTAACAAAACAGCCCCTTGCCTAGCACCATCATATTTGCTGCCTCGCAGGAACGCTGTGAAATGTTGTATTTTTCCCCCATTTTAGAGATGAGGAAACTGTGAGCCTCAGCATCTGGTTCAGAGCCAAGAGCAGTGGTTGCAAATCAATGAATTACTTTGGAAAGAATGCCCTTGACCGAGGAGGAAACAGAGTCCCAGAGAAGGAAGGGAGCTGCTCACGTCTTGTCGGGATCAGAGCCGGACCTGAATCCAGGAGCCTGATTCTCGGTCCCGAGCTCTTGGATATGAAGCTCTAATTTACTGACTGCTTCTTACATGCCAGCCCCTGGGAGGGGCCCCTTTTCCTGGATTACTCATTTCATCCCCGTTTTCACATAAGCCTCTGAGAGGTCAAGAGACTTCCTCAAGGTCATAGAACTAGCAAGTGGCCGAGGTGGGATCACGACTGAGGACGGTCAGATGCTGGAGCCTGTTCTCTGAATCTGTACCCTACTACCTGGGGCTCAGATTAAATTTACCAAAAGGTTTCAGGGATGTTGCTTTGCGTCAAGTCGGAAGAAGTACGGGGTTCACTTGAGCACCAGCAAGAACTGGAATGGAATTTGAGTTTGCGACTAGCGAGCCACGTGACCTTGGGTTAACCTCTCTGAGCCCCAGCTTCTTCTCTAGGGCACGGGGATAGTTGCCACGTTGCAAGGATTGGATTGACCGTGTATGTAACTCTCAGTGGAGGGTTGGAAATATCTAGATAATGACAGTTATATTGCTAGTGTTCTTGTGGCCTAAAGGGTGTGAATTCCACTGCAGCTAGCCGGTGCCAAGGGACCGACCCTGTAAGCAATAGAAGAGCATCGCCACCAGGGGGCAGCAGAGCTCCAGCAGAAGCCGCCGGCCTCCCACCTCCTTCCCAATTCTGACCACGCCCCTTTGGGAAGCTCAATAATCTAATGGGCCTTGCATTTACCTGGTGTGATCGCAGAAGGAAATTCCAGGTGCATCTTGCTTAATCAAAGCCAATTGTTTAAGAACTCCCAACTTCTAGAATTAGATAAAGCTGGCTGTGTGACTTTGGATAAGTCATTAACCTGCTAAGCCTCAGTCTCATCTTTAAAATAGGGATAATAATGGTATCTTCCCCATGATACTGTTGTGAAAATTAAATGAAATAATGTCAAGTAAACCACTTCGGGCAGAGTAAATATCCAAAAAGAACAAATAGTCATTAAAAACAGTTAAGCACAGACTATAGTTAATAATACTGTATTTATATTTGAAAGTTGCTAAGAGCATAGATCTTAAAAGTTCTGACTACAAGAAAAAACATTGTAACTATGTGAGATGATTGATGTTTACTAACCTTATTGCTATATACATATATTGAATCATTCTGCTGTACACCTAAGACGAATACAATGTTATATGTTCAGTTCTATCTCAGTAAAACTCAGTAAAAAATTATATCGATGAAAATTTTTTAAAAAATTGAGCACTCAGTGCAGAATTTGATTAAAAAAATTTAAAACTTAAGAAATAGTACTTGTTTATACCAAAGAACTTATTAGGAGATAGAAGCAAAGGCTTATGCATAAAGATGTTCACTGTGGTGATGTTTATAATAATGGCGAAATTGGAAAAATGAAAAGTCCAACAATAGGGGAAAACCAATCAAAGGGAATTGGTTAAGTAAACTGAAGAATATTCATAACCTTTAAGCGTGGCATGGCCTTGACACTGACATGAAGAGAGAGTAACAATATATTATTGAATAAAAAGTAATCGTTACAAGCCAACAAGTGTAGTACAATGCTGTGCATGCAAAATTATGTGTGTGTGCACATGCACGTGAATTCTTAAAGAGTTGTGGAGGAAATTTATCAGATATAAACGTTGGTTACTTTTGGTTCATGGGATGAGGATGTCACTTTCACGTTTTATTTTGAAAAAAGAAAATTCAACAAAATGATGAGGCAACCTAAAGCATGGGACAAAATATTTGCCAACCCTATATCTGATACGGGGCTAATATCCAAAATATATAAAGTACTCATACAACTCAATAGCCAAAAAAAACAAATAATCCAATTTAAAAATGGGCAGAGGACCTGAATAGACATTTTTCCAAAGAAGATATATAAGTGGCCAGCAGGTATATGAAAAGGTGCTCAACATCACTAATCATCAGGGAAATGTAAATCAAAACCACAGCGAGGTATCGCTTCACACGTGTCAGACTGGCCATTATCAAAAAGCCAAGTGGTACCAAGTGTTGGTGAGGATGTGGAGAAAAGGGAGATGTTGCACACTGTTGGTGGGAATGGAAATTGGCACAGCCACGATGGAAAACAGCACTGGGCTTCTTCAAAGAATTAAAAATAGAACTGCCATGTGATCCAGCTATCCCACTTCTGGGTGTAAATCTGAAGGAAATGGAATCACTGAGTGGAATAGATATCTACCCCCATGTTCACTGCAGCATTATTCTCAATAGACAAGATATGGAAACAACCTCAGTGTCCATTAAAAGATGAATGGATAAAGAATATGTGGCATTTACGTGCAATGGAACATTATTCAGCCATAGAAAAGGAGGAAATCCTTCCTATTTACAACAACATGGATGGAGCTTGAGGGCATCTTGCTAAGTGAAATAACTCATGCAGAGAAAGACAAATACTGTATGATCTTTATATGTGGAATCTGAAAACATCAAGCTTGTAGAAACAGAGAGTAGAGTGGTGGTTGCCAGAGGCTGGGGGGAGGGGGTGGGGTAAATGGGGAGATGTTGGTCAAAGTTGTAAACTTTCAGTTATAAAATGAATAAGTTCTGGAAACCTAATGGACAGCATGGAGACTATGGTTAATAATACTGTGTTATACACTTGAAAGTTGCTAAGAGAGTAGATCCTAAATATTCTCACCACACACACACACAACACACACACACAGATGCACACACAAATGTAGTTGTATGAGTTGATGGAGGTGTTAACTAACCTTAATGTTGTGATCATTTTGCGATATACACGTGTGTCAAGTCAGCACCTCGTGCGCCTTAAGCTTCCACAATGTTGTATGTCAATTACATCTCAACACAGCTGGAAAAAAATTCAAATTTGACCGAGAGGTTGCAGGTGTAGTACACTGAATGCCCCTATTTCCTCCAGCCAGATTCAGCATTGCTGATGTTCTGCCACATGTACACTCTATCTATAACTATGCCTTATACGTACATCGATATCCATGCCTCCATCCGTCTATATACATGTCCTGATTGTTGCTTTTGTGGCACCATGTGAAGTAAGCTGTAGACCTCAGGATGCTTTACTCCCTAGTTCTTCAGCAGGCATCTCCTAAAAGCAAGGACGTTTCTTAGATAATCACAGGACAGCAATTTTGATTGTCTAACACACCATCTACGTGCAAATTTCGCCGATAGCACGTACACTCACACATACACGCAAACACGTACGTACATACACAGATACATATATGGATTTCTAACTGGTGATAATTTTTCTTTCCCTTTTTATACTTTTTAGAATTCTGATTTCTTTTTCTTCCTCAGTTAGAGAAAATCATCTTCACAATCAGAAAGGACCATAAAGTGGTTTCCTTTTGGGGAAAATAATAAAATGCAACTAGGAGACTTGATGAGTACTCTGTTGTTGGGAAAAGTGGGAGCCCAACGGTGATCGTCAGGCCTTGCTCTTGGCCCCACCCCACTGCCTGGGAGGGCCAGGCCTCTCCCTTTCTGGAGCTGCCTGGGGTGGGGGCAGGGGGTAGTGAGTGACCTCAGCTGGGAAAATTCTTCCTGGCTGAGTCACCTGAGAAGCCCAAATGCCAACCCAGCCTCACTCAGATAGGCATCAAAGACAGGGGACCGCTCTGTGCCTGCCCTCCTTCCATCTCAGCATGCCTGCTTCAGCCGGCAGGCAGCTCCGTGGAAAGGCCCCGGGGCAACTTGAGATTATGAACTAGAAGTCTTCTCTCTCTTTCTCTTTTTTTCCCTTTATAATGTGCCCTTTTGGAGAGACTGAGATAGGATATAGAAGAGAACTCCTGGCATCTCCGATTCTTACCCAGGAGACCAATAGCAGGGGTTCCAGACCACTTTAGAGGATGGTGTGTTAAATATACACATACCGTACCTCCCAGCAATTGCCCTCCTGGGGTTGTTCCCTACAGAAACTTAGGTGCACGTGCACCAGGAGACAGCCAGGAATGTTGTCCACACATCACGTGCCTGAAGCTCCAAACTAGAGACCGCCCCAAGCCCACCAGCAGTGGAATGGAGTGATGGCACCATAATGACACGAGGAGCTGCCCAGCAGTGAAAACGGATGGCAGACGGCCACCCGCAAGAGCACGGGCGAATCTCACAACAGCGTGTTGAGGGAAAGAAGCCAGACTCAAGACCCTCCTAGAGCGTGGTTCCATTTACATAAAGTTCAAAAGCAAAAGAGGCAATATTAAACTATATTGCTTAGGGATTCTGACATAGGGGTTAAAACTATTTTAAAAAGCAAGAAAATGATTATCCCAAAAGCCAGGAGAGTGGTTTCTTGTAGGACGAGGAAGGGGTACTCAGGGAGATTTGGGGGCCTGTGTTCTGCACACCGCCCACACTGATGTCTACTTTATAAGTATTGCTTAAACTGTGTGTATCCTACGCAGTTATGTTTCACAAGACAAACACAGAAACAAAACACGTGTTATCAAATAAAAGACCTACAGCATC